ACTGAGGATGTGTATTGGTCAAGATCAAGCGAACCTCCATTTTCAGCAGCTTCTCTGAAAACCTGCCAGTCTGTTCGATCAAAACAATCTCTCAGTATGGGTCCACTGTCCTGGCTCCAACATTTAACTTTCTTTTGTACCGGTCTGGAGCGTCTCAGCGGGGGCATGTAAGCAGGAGCCAGGAAGATTGAGATGTGGTCTGACAGTCCTAGGTGGGGGCGGGGTTCGGCTTTGTATGCATCTTTTACGTTTGTGTAAACACGGTCCAGCGTGCGGTCTCCACGTGTCGGAATCGTCACATGCTGATTAAAGCTTGGGAGACAGTCCTTTAGATTCACGTGGTTAAAGTCTCCGGCTACCACGTAAAGAGCCTCGGGGTGTTTGTTCTGCAGCGAGCTGATGATATCATGTAGCTCCTGCAGTGATTCATTAGCATTAGCGTCCGGAGGAATGTAAACAACTGTGATAAAAGTCACTGTGAACTCTCGGGGTAGATAATGTGGCCGACATTTCACTGTTATTTGCTCCAAAGCCTTCGAGCATGAGCTATTTACAACAGTACAGTTCGTGGACCAACTTTTACTCACGTAAATGCATACTCCGCCCCCCCGTGATTTCCCCGTTAGCTCGCTGCAGCGGTCCGCTCGAAAAAAAAGTCTGTCATCCAGCTGGAAGACTGAGTCCGGCGTTTCACTTGTAATCCACGTTTCCGTGAGGCAAAGCACTGCACACTTCTTCATCTCTTCTGAGGCGCCCGCTCTCAAAAAACATGATTTGAAAATTATATTAAAAACAAAAACAGCTACATTATAAAGTGATGTCAAATACTAAAAACAGGAACATGTCTGTTGGTTTATGTCATGAACGTAGCAGATGTTTGAAGCCATTTAACATTTTATTTAATTAAATTAATTTATTCATTCATTTAAATGAAACAAAATTTAAAAAAAAATCATCAAAAAGAAAATGTTGAATGAAAAGAGTGCAGGAAGAAGAAAAATTATTATCTGCCCCTTATAAAATATAAAACAATTTTAAACAATCACTTAAATTAATCACTTTAATATCCACTTTAAAGCTAGGAATAAAAAGAAACATGTTTTGTGTTTGAATTTAATTCTAACTTTAAAACATCCAACATTAATAAAACTTACATCAAGTTGCCTTTTTGGACATGCATGTATATATTTGTACAAATTGTACTTGAGAGGAGATTTTTACAGCCTCATATAAAATCAATGATGATCATGATATCGGAACTGGATCTGTATCTGCCGATACTCAGATCTAGGTATCAGGATCGGATTGGAATTTTAAAAAGTGGATTGGTGCATCCCTAATACTAATCTAGTATCACTGAGTCTATGTTCTGCTTCTATAGTGTACGTAGTACATCTATCCTCACTGATTGGCTATGGTGGCTTTTTAGTATCTGATATCCTGATGCATGCTCAATAATCCAGGTAGAAAAATCTAAAAAAGTTAAGTCTGGTCCTCTGGACATTCAAAAAAACAAAACAAACCAAAGAAAATTGTAGAAACATTTCGTTTTTACAATGCTGTGATTGCTAGTATCACTCAGCCCTCTGTGAGTAGTAAACAGCCACCAGTGTGCTAATGATCCATTGTTAGGCTGATGGTCCTTCTTGAGCATGTGATCAGCTGGTTTTGGTTGTCAGCAGCAAAACTGGTTGATCCACTCTGAGAAGGTGCTATTTAAGAGACTGAGCTGAAAACAGCACCTCAGACTGAGGAAGTCTCTTGGATGAGAGACGAAACGTTTCTACATTTTTTTGTTTTTTTGTTTGGTTTTTTGAATGTCCAGAGGACCAGATTGAACTTTTTTAGATTTAGTATCTGATGTTTATACTAGATAATTGTTAGGAATGATTGCTGTACATCAGTGGTGGAGAAAGTACTCAAACACTGTACTTAAATAAAAGTACAAATAAACAGACAAAAATGTACTCTAGTAAAAGTAGAAGTACCACATTAACATTTTTACTTAAGTAAAAGTAAATAAGTATTTGCTTTTAAAATACTTAAAGTATTAAAAGTAAAAGTACTTCCTAATTACATAATGCAATGGTCTATATATCTTTAAGTCTGCCTACTGTATGTATATTTACTGTAATACATTAATAGTGTTGAGTCATTTTACTGAACGATGCTGCAGATAATACATGTTTTTACTGTGTTTACTCTGTGACA